TATGTCCACCATGGTACTACTTCCTTTTTCCTGTTTTTCTGTTGTCTAATGCTCTTACTGGAAATACTTCTGACAGGACCCTCCTCTCCACTCCCCTTCATACTTTGTGTTACTGAACTCAAATCAGGTTCGCTTGCCCAAGCCCTATAAAACCAAACCATAGGCACATGGTGCGATGAAGGAAAATACAGTTTTATTGCAAAGCACAAAGCAAGGAGAGCAGGCAGCTCATGTTGAAAAGACCCGGTCTCCCGGAGATATTCCCCAAATGCGTTTTTAAGGGCAAAATTAGGGGCAGAGATCCTAGGCACATGATGAATTCAGTGATTGGTTCAAGAGGGTATGATCATCTCATGAGTATTCTTGATTGGTGAGACCTTAGATAATTAAATTTCTCTTCAGGTGCCTAGAGCCATTTAGCCTGGATTTTTTGAGCTCACAACCAGCAGTCTCCAGCCTATAAAACTCCTTACATATTGAAATGAAAACCTTATCTTTCCTTTAAGTGAGAGTTTTAGAGGTCAAATGGCCCTCATTCATGGTCCATGTTGGTCATTATCATAACCAAAAGTATGAAGAGTTACTTCTTACTCTGGGCCATTACAATGTAAATAGGCTTTATATTTCAAGAACCTTAGAAAATACATTAGTTTCATTTGCTCCTACAGCCTAAGACTACCTTTACATTGAATTTTTCCTAGAGATGACTGTTTACCTGTGCTTGTTTGTATCCTCTGAGCAAAATTTGATCTTAGAAGTAATCTCAGGCTGTAGCAGAGTGCATGCATGATGGTACAGAAGATATACATCCAAAGGAACTGCTAGTGAAAGTGAAGAAAAAGTAATGACTTGTTTAATTTAGAAATTTTATTTTCAAAAGCTCAGAAATTCACCCTTCTTTTTAATGAGTTTAGGATTAGAAAGGGCTCATATCTGCAAGTGAAAAGATATGTTTTTTAGTGCTTCCTAAATCTTATCATTGTTGACTGAGTTATTTTATCCACAGACTCAATTTCACTGCATCACACAGGGATATTATTTTGTATGCAACACACCCTCGTGTTTGTTCATAGAGTGTCATGCACTGCCTCCTAGTTGTTTTACCTTTTTGAATGGTCTTATTTTCTTCATGTATTGTGAACTACTTGGGATCTAGGATTGAATCAAAAATTATTTTATATCTTCAAATACCTTAACAAAGGGGAGAAGTATGCAGGTTCTGTTCCTGGCCTTGTCAGTAAATTCTGGGATAGTTAGACTATGTATGTAACTATCACACCTGTCTTGTCTTCTCTTAAGCTTTCCTGCTAAGTTCCAACTTCCTTGGAGTCTCCTATCCACTGTGATCTAAATCTGTATCCCTAAGCAGAAAGTTCAGCAAATGATTTTTTTTAAAAGAAGGAATGGTGGGGTCAGCTGGTGGCTTGGTGATTAAGGCATGGACCCCACATAGACAACAACACAGTTCCAGTCCTAGACCTGCTAGCTTGAATAGCACACCAAGGATGTGTGCATGTGTGCCCAAAATCCCAGGAGGAAAATGAAGAAAAAAAGATTGCAATATGGCCAACCCCTACGGGAGGGTGCTTTCTCTTTTTCTCTCTCTCTGTAGTGAGTGCTTAGCAAAATTTAAAGAATAAAGAATAATGTGATTGTTATTAGCTATTTCAAATCTTAGGCTCATGTCTAGAGAGTCTAAATCCATTATCTGCTCTAAATTCCACCCCCCCCCCATCTTGCAGTATGGTAAACAGATAAAAACAAGAACAAAACACAGGGCAATCTTTTGTTTTTATATCATGTTTATTAGGATGTGGAAAGAAATATTTCCAAAACATGGGTGCAGAATAACAGAACTCCTTATTTCCTACAAGAAAAGGAAGTAAAAACAACTGTGAATAAAAGGAAGAGCCCATGCTGTGTATCAATATTAACCTGCTGAGCGCTGAAGGGGAAGAACAACTAAAAATAAACTTTAATAGGTGTTCTGATTAACTAAGCCTGAGAAAGGACCATCCAACCCCATAGACCTTGGAGAGCCAAGCTCTGAGTTGAACAGAAGAGAGCCATCCCTTCAGTGTCCCCCATTTATTATATTAGACATAGCAACTTTGACCAAGGTAGAGTTTAGCTTCAGTACTCCCTCTCACTTTCCCCTACCTGCCCCCCACACACACCTGCTCACAGACATTGATGCAACTTACTAATTTTAATATCCTGGGAAGAGATAAAAGCATCTTGTCAATGTCACTCTTTCAGTGGTGGGCATCTGTGCCCTACCATCTGGCAGCTCAAAAGAAAATCGTACCTAAAAGGAAGAAAAAGGGGACCAGTGGGCTGCATGGTGGTTAAGGCTCTGAACTCTACATGACTGACTGTGTGGTTCAAGTCCCTGACCCAGCAGGTTGAAAAAACACACCAGAAATGTATGTGTGCATTCCCAACATCCTAAGAGGAGAATAAAGGAGAAGGGATTATGTCCCCCCGGGGGGCAATTTATCACTTGTCCTCTGTTTCTTCTCTATCTCTGTCTGGTAAGTGCATATGTCGTATCACAAAAAAATTGAAAAAAAAAAAAAAGAGAGAGAGAGAGAAAGCGATAAAAGTATGTAGATCTTTTTTCCTAAGTGCAAAATTTAGACTTAAGCTAGAAAAGAAAAACTGCAAAAAAATACAGCAAAATAAATACAAATTCTTGCACCTCTAAGACTCATAGCTATATGCATATCTAAGCATGGAATTGCCTCCCAGTCTTTTTAATCTGCTGTTGAATCTGATAGCTGCAGTAGACACAGGCCAGTCTGATTCCACTCATTTCTCTCCTCAGAGAAAAATGGAAGGTAATGTTAATAATCATTGCTTTCTAGGAGTGGTGGGTCATAACAGATTTAACTTGGCATTCTGTTTTGCTGATTCACCAAAGAACCTAGAATCTCCTTTGAGAAGAAAAAGATTATGTCTTCTTTTGTCTGGAAGGGTCTGGCCTCCCACATGGCCAGCGTGGTTTGACTCTCGGACATGGTAACTTGCATTCTCACTTCCCCCTCCCCAACTCCCACCATCCTTCACTGGGCACAATTTAAAAGAGTAATAATAATAATAAATAAAATTAAACAGACCTTAAAAATATTATTTCTTTCTAAATTTATTTTTCTATGTCTGCTACATTTCTAACTGGAGTAGCCAACATCCAGAGAAGCAGAATGAGAGGAGTGTAGAGGCCCTACCTTTCGGAAAATTTCTTCCAGGTCACAGGACCAGGCGTATTCTTGAAAATTTTGGATGAGTTTCATAATAAAAAGAGAACCCCAGAAAGGATGTCGCCAGGAAACGTTATCTGAGAATAAAGCACATTCCAAATCTCATGACAGACTTTTACCTGGACACTGAGAGGAAATCCTAATGTTTGCTCTCCAGTTGTTGTATGCTGTTGTGTTTACCCTATTTTATGTACACTACATGCCATTTCTCATTGAACATATAAAAGTTCAGTGAGTATATTTGTACGGATATTTGAAAAGGATGCTGTAAATGGTGCAGATATTAGGGTGGCTTAGTCTCTGAGTTCAAGGAGGCAAAACTTAGCAGAGAGATGGAAAAAAGGCAGAATGGGGTACAGAAGAGTTATTGTGCCTTGGGGAAAAAATATTTAAAATTTTCTTCCAAAGGTGATACTTATTGCTTCTAGTATCAATAAATTATATACTCTGAAATGCAATGGCCTCAACTATAATGGGAAGGGAAGGAGAAGGATATAATAATTTCTACCACAAAAAAGTTTTTGGAGATTAGATAATACATCTCAAGTGTCTGGGAGAATGTAGAATATGTAATACCCAGACTGGTAATACTCAGCATGGTAATTATACTAATAGCTCTTCAACTTATGTACTTTGTAAATAATTGTAATTAAAATCAAGAAATATTGATCGTAAGATGTTTACTCAGAGAAAATGTTAGTTAAATATGAAAATGGCACCAAAAGAAAGAAAATATAAACCTAGGGAATGTTTAAGAAGAAAATGCCACCTCCTATTGAAAGACAAGACATTCTTAAGGAGAGAACTTTTAAAGAATACCAATATTATTCTTGTAGTAGACACAAAGAAGTAATGAAGACATATACAAAATATACAAAGGAATTTAAAAGAGGAAAGCAATACTAGGCCAATCACTGGCATGGTGGTAAAGGCATCTGAATTCCACATGACCAACTGAGCAGTTCATCTTGGACTCAGTGGATTTAAAAACACATCTGCATAAGTGTGTGCATCCCTAAAATTCTCTGAGTAGAATGGAGGAGAAAGGATTGCAGCATGGCCATCCCCCCCAGGGGTGCATTCTCACTTTTCCTCTCTTCTTTTGTCTTTCTCCAGCAAGCACATATGCCCTATAATAATTTTAAAAGAGAGAGAGAAAGAGAAAAAAAAAAAAGAAAAGCAATAGCAATTGCTCTGTATATAATCATGGATGCATCCTTTAACCAAACCTTTTAACCAATAATAATGCTAATAAAATATATATTAATAATACATTAAAATGCTGTTCACTAACCATAGTTGTTTTATGAGGCTGGTCTCAAGTTAATAAGAGAGAAGGTAGAGGCAGATATTTCTTCAAATCCTTTGTGAAATTAAGGAGTCAATGATCAGTTTTTTTCAGAAGAGCAATAGAATGTAGTTGGAATTTGTATAGGAGAATGTGGAGCCAGGATTAGTAATGAAGATGAAGGTATCCAAATGAGAATTTTGAAGAGTCATCTGGAAAGGAGGAATGAGCAAAGTGAAAGAAGCAAACCAAAATCAGCAAGATGGATGTTGAGAAGCCAAAGACCTACAAAGAATTGTGTAGTTGGAAGTAAATGTCTTGTGGAAGGCTGGGATCACAGAATTTTAAAGAATAGTTATGTTTAATTTTTTTATAATTTTTTAAAATAATTATTTTATTTGACTTTATTTATTTATTTTAATTTTATGAGAGAGAGAGAGAAGTAAGAAAGTGAGTTTCCAGGTCCAGGACTCAAACTGCAGTTAGTCGTGTGAGAGTCCAGCACCCCCAACCACCACGCTACCTGGTGGCCCAAAGACTAGTTATCTTTAGTATTAAAGTCTGCTAAATACATTCAGCCCAAATGCATGGGTTTTTGGCATGGTGTTTGTTTTGATTATTGAAAAAAATCATTGAGCTTTACCTCAGTATATGGTCAAGACATTGCAGAACCTGGCTTTCTCCTGAGAGATGTCATCACATTCTAGAAAATAATCTGTGAACCAAACTATTTGATCAGAGGCATGACCTCAGGGCTAGAGATGAAGAGGATGTGAGTTTGGAGGAAACTACAAAACAGGTGGATGGAAAGATTCATATTGCCTTTATTTAAATCTTGATAAGCAAAATACCTTGAGTTGTTACAGAATGGAAGCATATTTAATAGTAGCAGACATTGGCCCAGCTGCAGTGACATGCTCTAAAACTCTGTACACAGCAGGCTAGGACTACATGGGAGGCCCAAAGTCCATTCCTGGTCCAACCTAAAAGCCAGGTGTGATGGTGTACACCTATAATCCTAGCCACTTGGGGAGGCTGAGGCAGGATCTCACAACAATAAGATCCTGTCTGAAAAAATAATAAATTAAAATATTAAAAGGAGTTATTTAATGTGTGCTTTACTTTGTATTTTGCTCGATATTTCACACACATCTTATTTAATCCTTAGAACAATATTAATAGTCACATGTGTTCATCAGAAATTAAAGTACAGAAAGTGAATACCTAGACCTGGTTTACAAAATATTAAATTGCAGAACCAGGAAATAATCACAAGACTCTAACTCCAAAGCTTACATTTAGATTTTTTCAGATGTGTTCTATTTTATATATTCCATACTTTAAGTTATAACCTACTTTAAACAAGAACACCAGTATGCTTTGTCTCTTTTCAGTCTCTATGTCCCTGGCCCACACTAGTCTCCTAAAAATACATGTCTGGACTGGACTGTGGAGTGACCCCAACATTGTGAATCTTTTCTGTGAGGAGTCAGATGCTAATTTAGTTCAGGGTAAACATTCCTCTAATTTTTTGTCATTTCTCCCAATTCCAAGAAAATGTTTTGCACCGTGGAGTAGTTTACTACTTACTAAATTACTATTTCAGTGAAAACATAGAACATTTGGTCTCTGTGGGTCTGGGGAATCAAATAGAGTTCTAGAGGAAGATTTGAGTTGGTCTGTAAAGTCACATCTTAAGTTTAGCACAGGTATCCACACTTTAAGAAGTAGGTGTGGGGACCAGCAGTTAGCGTAATGGCTATGTCACTGGACTCCCACTTAGTCGACCACGGTTCGAGTCCTGGACCTGGTGGCTTAAACTCATGCCAGGTGCGTGTGTGCATGCCCAAGATCCTGAGAGGTGAATGGAGGAGAAGGGATTGCAGCGTGGCCATCTCCCCTGGGAGTGATTTCTTGCTTTCTGTCTCTCTGTCTCTCTGTCTCTCTCTGGCTTTCTGGTGAGCACACGCACCCTATAGCAAAAACCTCACCAAAAAAAAAAAAAAAAAGAGGAAGTAGGGGTGAATTTCTATATTTGTAATCCTCACAAACACAGTGTTCTGCACAGAAACTCTACCTGGTGTCGAAGAGCAGAAAGCAATAAAATCCTTCTCTATATGGGCTTTCTTAATGCCATCTTCTTCAAAATCTTCTGAAGCCGATATGGGTCTGTTTTCAGCACCTTCGACAGAATCTTTTAACCACACCACACCTTGGTTCTCTGAAAAGACAATATTTAGTTTCTTGTTACTACCAAATACCAAAAAACTACATTCTCCTCTAACCCTCTGTTCAACCATAACTATCAATTTATGTTTCTGTCTTTCATTTGCATAACACCTCAAGAACTATCTTTGTAATAATTCTTTTTTTTTGAGAAGATTTTTGCTATAGGGCGCATGCACTCTCCAGACAGACAGAGAGAGACATAGAGACAGAAAGTGAGAAATCACCCCCCAGGGGGGATGGTCATGCTGCAATCCCTTCTCCTCCATTCTCCTCTCAGGATCTTGGGCAGGCAAGCACACGTGCCCGGCGTGAGTTTTAAGCCACCGGGGCCAGGACGCAAACCGCACTTGACTACGTGGGAGTCCAGCAATATAGCCATTACCCTAACTGCTGGTTCCCTCTTTGTAATAATTCTTATCTCTCCTAATTCAAATGAATGCTACTGACATTGGAACAGCAAAGCCTCAAGACTGAAAGTATTCTCTCTTTAGTTGTAAATGGTTCTGAGACTCTACCAACCAGCCACAAAATTCACAGCTACCACAATCATGACCAGTGACAATAAGTGTTCTTTGATATTAAGAAACATATACAAAGAAGCTGAAAAATACTGTATGCAGGCAGACCATAAAATCACTGAATGTCTTGTGTTCTGATAGACATCGGGACTCACCACCACGACAGGCCTGGATGATGATCACCTTGGGTTTGTCCTTCAAACTTGGACAGTTCCTGGTGTTCAACATTTGAAAAATGGTGTTGACTGGTAATACATCTGGGATTTGATCACAGTATGTCTTCCCACAAATGCCATCCCGAATACCATGAGACATGAACACCACGAAAGTACTGTCAGAGGTCTGGTGCTCTGGGCGAGCAGCAAATGACGCCAGTTCTGTAACCATGCCCTGGAAGAAACCATAGCACCCATTTTAGACTATGTGATTTGCTAACCTGACACCTTTGTAATCCAATAAAAGGATACTTAAGGAATTGCTTAAGGAATTCCATGAAAATCAATGGAGTGGGAAATAAAATTTAAGTCTTAATTCAGAGAAAGATGAGAAAATAAAAGACTATGGCATGTCATCCAGAGATTTCTAGTTGAGAGAAGGAAGTATTATTGAATTAATACAACGCTTCTCAATTAGAGGTTACACCAGGCTCTGGGTAAAAGACTCTTGCATTCAAAGAGGATATGTAGTATCATTAACCTTCAAGGGCAAATTTAGATTGTACATAATCAAGACAGTAAATGTCTGAGTGCAGCCTCCAAGCTTTTGAACACTATTTAAGTATATGAAAGACATGACCATCGTATCTCCAGTATGATAATCTTACCGAAGCAGTGAGATTTTCTTTCACATCCACGCTATATCCCAGACCTTCTAGGAGTATCTTCATACCTCTGATGTCAACATCAGCTCCAGTCCTCCTGGGAAGATCATCAAACTCTGTGTTGCAGATAATAAGGGCAAGACGTGTGCGTGTCGACTTATCCATTATTGGATAAATCTGTTGGAAGGGCAGATTGGATGAGCGGTCTTACTCTGTTCAAGTTAATAATGATCTTACATGTTTAAGACAGCTTCCCCTTCCTTAGTCCTATCAAGAAACCAGGTCCCGTGATATGGTTTAATCACAGATTAAAAACAAGGAAAGGGATTGAATCCTACTTTAGGAGTGGGAATGGAGTTTATAATGCCCAGATGGCAGCTGAGCACCTGACTTAATTGACTGATATAGCAGAATAAATTTCATTTATTTTTTTATTTTTTAAACAAAGTTTACTGTGTATGTTTTTGGCTTACAACATAATATTAGGAGTCATAGATAGATAGTACAATGGGTTACTATAGTGACACAGATTAACATTTCTAACATTTGATGTTGTCACGTGTGTGTGAATGACAAGAGCCACTCAGATATACATCTTTAACAAAAATCCCTAGCACAATTTTAATTGATAGGTGAGATTTTGAAAGATGGCACAGGCTTTGAAATGCAATGATTGAATTTTAAAATTGACTCCTCCTCTTTCTGATTGTTAAACTTTAAGGAAAATGTTCAATCATTTTATGTCTGTTTTCTGATCTCCAAAATAGGTTATTTTGAGAGTTTTATCTATTTTTTGGGAGTTAATTGTATTACATGTATTTTGAGAGTTCAATGGATTATGCAAACAGTTAAGAACAGTGTTAGACCCACCATATATGGTCAATAACTGCCCTTGTTATTATTCTTGTTATTATACTATTTACTAAATGGATAAGATGAAACTTTGAACTCTCTTCATAGGCATGAAATTCTAGGAGATAGGAATCAAGGAGATAGGAAGCATAAGAATGATTCTCCAGAATTTTTCAACAAAATTGGCTCTAAGACAGACCCACTGCACTTTACAGTGGCCTCCAGTGTATCTTTGACCAGATCCACCATTCTATTCTGAGCACAGACCTCTTTTGATTTTTCTTTCCATATCCTTTGGGCTGTTTCTAGAGTGCAAAGCTTGAGTTTCCCTTCTTGGTCTGAGTATGTGAACTTCGCTGGCATGTCCTGCACTGCCTGCTGAGCTGCAAAAGACAAGACATGTTATGAATAAAGGTATCCCATTTGTCCTGGTCCATGTTCCTCCCAGCATTATCTACGTATGAAGCCACAGAGGAGGGAATTTATTCTTAGGAGGACACCCTAAGCTGATTAACACTCTTGAGTGAGTAAATGCTAGTGGGCCATATTCCAAGTCAGAGATTTCTAGTAGTGTGACACATCTATCTACATTTATTTCCTAGGATCAGCATTTTCATAAATGTTTTAGAACAACACATAAAAAGGGAGTTTTTCAAGGCCATGCATGATAAAACACACACACACACACACACACACACACACACACACATATCAGTATGTTAGATAAAATAATTAAGATACATATTTGCTTAAGAGATTGAAAGCTTAGGATAAATTTTTGTGGGGATATGTGTTTAGTCTATTTAAATGTTTTTAAAAAGATGTATGTTTATCTACTTATTTATTTTCTTAGCAAGCATGATAATAGAGATTAGGGATATATATATATACGCACACATACACACATATATGCACATGCATATACACATATATGTCCTTCCAGGTCTCATTCTAGTGACTATATGAACTAGAATGCTAGAATGAATATGAAATAGAGTGATAAAGGCTTAAATTAAGAAACATATTAGATGGATTCATAGCATTAAGCATTGATTGCACAAATATATGAGGAAGAGTTTTCACAGTGGTTTACATGAGAAAATTCCCTAGGCTTTTATTTTATCACAGGTTCAACACCATCCAAGAATACAATGTACTTGCTAAAGAAATTAGTGTAACCTTTGTTTGTTTCAAAATAGAAATAACTTTTTCTAGAAATTTGGAGGAAACTTCAAACTAAACTAAACCATTAAAATGAGAAAAATATATTCAGTTTTGAAGAAGCATTTAAATAAACTGTATTTAGGTAAACCAACAATATGATTTGTGTTGACTATGGAAAAGATAAGAGCTAATTAGAATGAATATATTGGATAAAACTATAGAAATAAACATTAAGTAGAAGAAATGTTGTTTCTTCATAAAGGAATCTGGAGAACAATAAGAAAAATTAAATTAAAAAAATAGACCATGTGATTATATAGTAAGTTTCCCACCCTATAAAATGTTGAAGAATATATACATGGGATAATCATTCTTGATAGATTTAGTAGAGTTATTTTGAACTTGGTAAAATATTTGTTTCCCTGGCCTCTACATTTCTTCTAAATATAAGGTTTTATTGTAGGGCAAAAAGCTCACTTTGAATAAAATTATCCCAGAACTATAGAAGAAAAACTGTTCTAGGACAAATAATACACAGATTATTAGGTAAACAGAGGCCATACTCATACAGAAATAAGATTAACTAGCAAGGAAACTAGCACATGTTGACTGTATCAGTACTTAGGAAAGGTGAAACCACTATTTTCAAGGTAGAACACCAAAACATTTTTAAGATTTATTTTCATCTAGGACTTTAAGTATTTCCTATGTGTCCTCTAGTATTGCATGAATACATTTTTTTTTCTTTTTTTGGAGAGGTTTTTGCTATAGGGCATGTGCGCTTGCCAGAAAGACAGAGAGAGACAGAGAGCAAGAAATCACCCCCAAGGGGGGACGGCCATGCCACAATCCCTTCTCTTCCATTCTCCTCTCAAGATCTTGGGCACACACGCACACATGCCCAGCGTGAGTTTAAGCCACCAGGTCTGGGACTCGAACTGCGGTCAACTACATGGGAGTCCAGAGACATAGCCATTAGGCTAACTGCTGGTCCCAATAAAAATAAATTTTTGTGTTACAGACTGCCTAAATATTCAACGAGACACTCTGCCTTTTTCCTTGGGCATTCAACTAGTATATATGACCAACTAGTGTGGCCATGTGATGAGTTGGAGCCTAAGGAAAGCAAACAGAAGTACCACATGACACATCTATACTGAGGTAGAAAAATCCCCACAAAAGATCCTCCAAATCCTTCTTCCCAGGGCCACTAACTGAATGGTTATGACCATAGTTATTTTGGCATTATATGTTGCTGTCATCACAGCCATGGTATGGAAGAGGTGCAGCATTTGGAAAGAAACTGTCTAATGATCAAGAATGACCAGTTTTTGTTTTTCATAAATGAGAAACAAGTTTCTATCCTATCTGAGCCATTATAAATGTTTGACTTTGTTGCAAAATTTGTGTTATCTGATATAGGTGTGTGGTATCATTTCTATCATTTCTGCCCTTAAATTTCCAGATGGCTCTAAGTTGATAATAAAGACTCTTAAGCAGCTGTTTATTATTCATAATTCATGTATTTGTCCAGGCTCAATAAGAGCGGTATCAGTGTTTATCTTTTCATTATTCTGTAGCTAGTCCATATAACAGGGTATGAACACAGTTGGCATGTGATAAATATTTTTCTAATAGCCTAGTAGTAATAGTAATTCAGATTAAGTTATTTGTGAAATCATCCTTTAATTTCAATTACTGTGAGCCACATCACCATTACATGGGACCATACCTATGAACAAATCAGATATGTTTAATCTCTTTACAAAATGTAGCGACAACTTGGGGAAAGGATGACTTTATTTTTAAAAATAGAAGTAAAATATACTGAGAGTTGTTGTTAGAGAACAACATAGTACTGTAGGAACAGGAGCTTCAAAATATAATAGTAGCAGCATATATAGAGAAGCAAATCTTCATTTGAAGGAAGAAATTAATTCTACTTAGCCACTGCTTCACTATTGGAGTGAGAGAAGAATGAGTTATGTATGAATTTCACATTTCAAGTTTGAACAAATGGTGATGGTAGCACCATTAGCCAAGGCAGGGAAAACTGGAAGAGGAGCAAGATGAGGGAAGAATGGTTAATTCATCTCTGGAAATGTTTAAAGATTTCTATGTGAGATATGAGTGAATATGTAAATATTGAATAGTGAAGTTTGACACTAAGTGGAAATCAAGATTTGAGGCACAGATTCATAGTTTGTTAGTATAGCTATGGATATAATATAATAAGGAAATAAAAAGGCACAGGAACAATCCATGAGAAATATCTATAACTGCCTCTCCACCCCAATATAGAGCTTGAAGAATACTTTTCCTTTGAAAGCATGATTACCTGGGAGGTAGGGAAACACTGCTTGAGAGTATTGTGTACTATGGGCATTTCCAGGTAGGGAACCTGAAGAAAGATAAAGGATATCAAAAGTTACTTATTATCTCTGAAGAATTTTAGGACTTTGTCCTAAAGTGGTAGATACTTCCAACTGAAAATTACCCCCACAGGTTTAATGGATTGATAGCCTTGTTCAAGACGTGACTCACACAGAACCACATTTATCACTGGGACACAAAAGCCTTACACATGAATGACCTGACTGTTATTTAACACTTAAGGTGGAATAGCAGAGTGTTTCTGAGTGCCTCCCTTGACCTTTGCTTTTTATGATGCAAGTGTAATGAAGACTTCTCAGCTATAAAGTAAATTATATTGATATACATATGTCAAGATGGCTTCTAGACACCAGAGATAGTGTGAGAAGAGGGTGGGAAAGGGCAGAGGGTCAGACATAAGGATATATATGAAACTATAAATGGAAAATTATTGATGATAACATGCATGATTAAGCCACTATGCAGTATATTCTGGATGGGAAATCACATTTTGTATGCTGTGACAATGCTTAGAGGATGAATGTAAATTAATTAATTTTTAAAAATTCAGGGAAAAAAAAACCACGAAAACTGTTTTTCTTGAAATTAAAAACATGCATTAAAAATACCTATTTGATGACTGCAATAAGCTATATAGCCCTAGCTAGGTGCTACTTTATAGTATGTTCATTATACTCACTGAGGTTTATGCCTAAAGTCAAACTTGTGTTCATGGATATGTATATATCAGCTGCGCTTACTATTGAAAATATTTAGATTAATTAATATCTTTAGTGAATCAATGAAATGTGGGAGGAAAAGGCATAGAAAGCAACCATGGATACCAGAGACAATGTGGGAGGTGAGTGGGAGATGGCAGAGGGTGAGAGATAGGGAATCAAGGATGGGAAAAACAAAATATACAGGAAACAAGAAATGGAAAATTATTTGTTGATGATAACACGTATATTAATGTGCTTGATTGAGACAATATACAGTGTACTCTGGATGGAAAATCTCATTTTGTATACTGTAATGATGTACAGTGAATGAATGTAAATAAATACATTTTTAAAAATGAGAATAAAAAATAAAAAGGAGAATAATAATAATAAAAAAGATGGCTTCTGACTGACTAACCACTACTGCTTAACAAGTGTGTACAAACTATGTTGTCTAACTCAGAGCTGACTTTGGCTTTGGACAAAATTATGAAGAAGGGGCAACTATGCTAGGACAACTGACCTTGAGAAGATGTATCATAGCACAAAATGGTGAAGGGACCCACTGGTCACCTCAGGAAGAATGGGAACAACCGCTAGTTCCATTCCTGAGGTCATAGAAATGCTTTCACCCACAAGTTCTTTGAGTCTGTTCTTAAGAAGCAGAAGTTAATAGCAATGTCTTCTTCCTCATCCCAGAATCACAGATACTTCTGCAAAGTCAACAAAATTTTATCACAAGGTTCTTAAAAATCTTTGAAATTTATTTCTCACCCATGTTAATAATTTCTCCTCTCCTTTAACTAGTGAAACTCCCAAGGTCCAGAAAGATTCCTGATATGTAAGTTAGACCATTTTATGTTTAATGCTAGGATATAGATAAGAATGGTAAAATATTGTGGATGGTACACTGTTTTAGGTACTGGACTCCCACAAGGACGATTGTGGATGGAGTCCCGGATGCAGAAGCTTGAAAAACATACTGGGTATGTGTGTGTGTGTGTGCGTGTGTGTGTGTGTCTGTGTGTGTGCACACATGCCCAAAATAACCAGGAGGATGGAGGAGAAGGGACTGAGGTGTTACCATACCCCCTGGGAAGTGATTCTCAATTTCTTTCTCACTGTCTGTCTCTCTCCTCTCTGGTGAGCACACACGCCCTATGGCAAAAAAAAAAAAAAAAAAGAAACACCTCAAAAAAAAAGGAAAACAAAGAAAGTATTTTGTAAGCTGAATAACTGAATTATATGAATTCTGTTCCCTAATCGTTCTCTATTCTTTATAATATTAATATATTATCATACTCTCTTGTATTTTCAGTTCTCTTTTACCTCACTGTAAGCAATAATAGAATAAAACTAATAATGGCAACAATAATAATAAGCAACTTGGTTATTTTGTAGACCTGCCCTCTATAAGCATAGCCCATTTAATTCGTCAGTGCATTACTATAGAGGAGTTAAAGTAAACCTCCTAAGGGCCATAGAGGAGAAAAGCGATAGTGCCAAAATGTAAAAGTGAATCAATGTTGACTATAAATCCTGGGGTCTTAATCACTAAACTACTCTGCTTTAGGATGCAAAAGAGTGCTGCACTTATATATACATTTCAGGAACTCTGACCGCAATCTCTGGAATCTTCCAGGTAGATGCAAGTCTGTCAATTTCATGAGTCCTACTCTGAGGAGAAAGCAACTGGAAGCCCTCAGTTAATCTATTTGGTAGGTTGCATAAAATCACTCAAACCTGTGTTAATATTTCTATCAGGAACTGGAATACTGCCAATTTTGAGGACATGAATTAAACTTAATTTGTTTACAGTATAATATAATACAGTACAATACAGTATAATATAAGAACACCTATCTGAGAAATTCACTCCTGAAACTTTAAGAATTGATATGAGCTAACAAATGAGGAACAAGGCCAGTCTTTATTTCACAGAACCTAGTGAAGTTAAGATTTCCTCAGAGAAAGTAGGATCTGTTTCCCTCCTCTGAATGGGAGAGATGCATAGTATGTCCCATGGAACTTTGAGCTCAAGGAGCAGGCAGCAGTTCATCCCGTTTTCTCATCTAATGTGCAGCTTCTAGGCTACACTTTCTATCAAAAATTTCAAAAACATTTTCTGAAGGAAGTTTTTTTTTATGTAATGCTAGAAACTTTCTTTTAGAAAGATCTCTTTCATCAGAGTACATTTATATATTACACCTAGTTATTATATTTTATGGTCTGAAAACAACCCCGAATGAAGAGATAGCACCTGATAACTGGAGAGGCAGACCTCAGGTGTTAGAGTTAATCTCAGTGGGTTGTACAAAACTTCTAGGATGCAAGCACAGCGTCTGAAAAGAACAGAACCAGGAAGAAGACAAATTCTCTATGAGTCCCCTGAATGAGGAAACAATGTTTCTCAAACAGGAAAATTTTAAAAATAGCTGCTTATAAGTCCTGTGAGTTAGGCATTGCTATGAGATGAAATGTCCCATAAAAATACATAGGGGGGAACCAGCAGTTAGTGTAATGGCTATGTCGCTGGATTCCCACGTAGTCGACCGCGGTTTGTGTCCCGGACCCGGTGGCTTAAAACTCACGCCGGGCGCGTGTGCGTGCGTGCCCATGATCCCGAGAGGAGAATGGAGGAGAAGGGATTGCGCCGTGACCATCCCCCCTGGGGGGTGATTTCTCGCTTTCTGTCTCTATGTCTCTCTCTGTGTGTCTGGCGAGCGCACGCGCCCTACAGTGAAAATCTCTCCAAAAAAAAAAAAAACATAGAAGTCCTAACTCCTAGTAACTCAGAATGTGACTATAGTGGGAAATAGGGACCTAATAGATGTATTGGGTTGTCAGAAAAGTCATAATGTATTTTTTTTCTATGCAAAAATGCATCATGACTTTTTCAACAATCCAATAATTAGTTGAGATGAGGCCATATTGGAATAGCATGTGCCCTTAATCCAATATTACTGGTATCTTTATAAAAAGAAGACAAAAAAAAAAAAAAAACCTGAGAAAGACAGACAGGGGAAACAATACTTGAAATGATGGCACACATAGGGAAGACGGCAATATGATGATAAAAACAGAAATGGAGTAGCAGCTGCAAACAGGAATACAAATGAGTCTTCACCCTTATTGTTATTACTTGATTGTCTCTAATTTGGGGGGATAATTGAGGGCATAAATGAAAAAGAAGTATTTTAAAAAAGAGATTTGTCACATCCACATGAAGGAAATAAACTATATTTGTCACATACACATGAAGGCAGAAAGCATCTGCAATATGAGCTCGGACAGGTACAAGCTTCCCCCAACCCGTAGAAAGGAGCTTCTTTCAAAGAACACCTGCTGCTGCTGAAGTGGCTTTGGGAAGTGCAACAGAGATCAGTGGCTGGGAATCCACTAGAACTCCCCTCTTTGCCACGAAGAAGAACTAAAGGACTGTGTACAGACTGGCTCAGATGCCTAAACTGTGTATCAGGCCCTCTGGGGAACTGGAGCCCTCACAGAGTGGCCCAGAGCCTGCTTCTATGCTGGTGGACGATCTCACTGAAAAGAAAATGCAAGAGAGCAACTGGGGAAAGGAGTCCATTTACTCTTCTCACTTTCTACAAAATTCAGTTTATTCCAAGTATTCCACTTCCACTGAAATATATTTTGGTCTCCTTGGGAATTGAAACTTTGGGAAGAAATTTAAAAAGTATTGATTTTAGACCTGAAGTCTTCATGTCATACAACTACAAAGTGTTGGGACTTACCGTAAGTAAATAAACTAACTAACTAACTAACTAACTAACTAACTAACTAAAATAAAGTAATGTACCTTTTCAGGGGACTGGAGGATATAGTTTAAGTCTTCAACAAATGAGCTGCTACATACTCAAGAACATGCTAACATAACTACTGAGGCTAAAGGAACAGGAAAAAATAAAAGAGACAGGAGACATGTGATAGGGCCACTGATACGGAAACAGGGCCCTGAAGCCATAGGTGAGGGTCTTCAAACCAGTATGACAAATGAAGAAAGCAGGTATTGGCACAAGACTAAAGGCCTATGTGAATTGTCTCAGGCCTGGACCCTTACCTGAGAGCTGCAGTTTCTCTGCAAGGTGGCAGTCATCTTCACCAATTGAGTTGATGCAAATTTGACTGGCTTTGGGTCCTTTCGGAATGACAGTGTCAATCAGAGCACGGGCCTTATCCATAACCGTAGCATTTCCATCTCTTATTCTCACCATCTCTTCCAGGTTCAGCACTTTTTTCTCCAGTAGTTCATCCAGCAAGGCATTAATTGTACCTGTGCTCACTGAATTGATAAATAGCTTCCTTTTCTCCCTTAGCACTTTGTCTGAGGCACAAACATTTGAGTCATAAAACAGTCTTATTTCACTCTCATGACAACAGTAAAACATCTCTTTCTTAGATAAAGGTAATCCCTTCTCTAATTCTATGGCTACTCCATATTTTTCCCTTAGTATTTCCCATTCTCGCTCATGGTGTGGCCTGAAGATTGAGGTTTATTCATGTACATTAGTTCCTGGGAAACAGAGATAATCTTTTCCTGTCTCGTTTTTTTAAAGTATTAGTTTGTATACAACTTCTTGAAGTATAGCTTCACAGCCCCATTTTGGTATCAGTGAATCATAAAAAATGAAACAGTAATAGCCCATTTCCTAGGGGACAACAGCAGGTACTTACCCTAGGCCATTTCTGTACCCTCTATCAGACTTAGAACATTAAAGAGTTCAGTTAAGATTGCAAAATTATAGACAGATACCCGGAAAGCAGTAGTTCCTTTCTGGCCCTTGCTTTTTCTTCTTAAAGGCTGTAGGAGTCCTCTTGACCCCTCTCCTCCCTCTCTTCTTTTACTTCGGTTCTCTTCATTTAAACATCCACAAATTTAACCATGACTTCCAGAAGAGCCAGCCCCTTCCAAATCTATTCCCTCCTCCTGATCTACTTTTTAAGGTTAAAAACTCACCAGCCATCGCTTTTTCTTCCTACCCTCTTGTGTGGTATGAAACTGAAAGCGTAGTTCAGCTTCCTTTTAAGTGTGCTGTGCACATGTATTGAGAAATAACCACGGCACTGATATAAATAATCTGATCACTAAAGTTCTGACTGTATGAGAGAATAAATCCTCAAAATTTTCTTCGTCAGCTCTTGGAATAAGTCAGGGTAGGAGAGGGGTGGGCCTTGCGTAAAAACATAGGGAATGAGAAACTATGTGTACAGTTTAACTCAGACAGTGAAGAATCTCCCATTCTTTAGGAAATATGAACTGGAAAAGTAACTCATTCTTTGGAAAAGCTGAATCACTATTCCCACTGCTCCATGCCACCAATCTGGGGAGAGTTCTGGTTGCATGTTTGTGAGAAACAGTATTGATTTTAGAAATGGAAATATTTTCTTTGTTTTGGGCCCAATGTGCTTCCTTTTTAGAGAGCTTTCTCTCTCTCTCTCTCTCTCTCTTTTTTCTTTTGGAGAGGTTTTTGCTCTAGGGCGCATGTACTCTTCAGAAAGACAGAGAGAGACAGAGAGACAGAAAGCGAGAAATCACCCCCCAGGGGGGTTGGCCATGCTGCAATCCCTTCTCCTCCATTCTCCTCTTGGGATCTTGTGCACACGTGCCTGGTGTGGGTTTAGCCCGTCGGGTCTGGGACGCGAACCATGGTTGGCTACATGGGAGTCCAGTGACATAGCCATTACACTAAGTGCTGGTCCCGAGAGTTCTCTTTTTAAAAATAATAATAATAATAATAAAATTGTCAGAGGGTGTGTGCTTGGGGCATGCACACTTACATGCCTGCTATGCTTTTGAACTCCCTGGGTTGGGGTTCAAATTGTGGTTGACCATGTGGGCCTTAGTTCCTTAACTACTAGATTCAGGACTAGCCCCAAATGATTGGCCCTCTTTTTAGGAGCATTACTTCATAAAGATTAAAAAACTCAGGCTCTGGACTCAGATGTCAGATTCTGACATGTAATACAATGTTAGAATTTTTAAAAAGAATTATTATTTATTCATTTACTATTCATTTATTTAATTTGACTAGAGAGAGACACAGAGGGAACTAGAGAGTCAAATGAGAAAGCAAGCTACCAGATCTGGGACTTGAACCATGGTTGGCCACGTGGGAGTGTTCAGTGCCTTAACCACCACATCACCTGCTGGTCCCTCAATGTTAGCATTTTAACTTTTCTTGGACAAGTTCCTGATATTACCTATAATTTTCTCTGTTTGTAAAATAATTTTACTTATTATTTATTAATTAATTTAATTTTTTTAGAGATTTTTGCCCTAGGGCACTTACATCTACAGGGGAGAGAGAGACAAAGACAGTGAGAGGGAAAATGAAAAGTCATCCCCCAGGGGCAATGACCACACCACAATTCCTTCTCCATTTTCTTCCCAGGTTCTCAGGTATACATACACATGTGCCCAGCGTGATTTTCAAGCCACTTGGGTCTGGAACTCAATCCACGGTTGGCCATGTGGGAGTCCAGTGGCATAACCACTACATCATCTGCTGTCCCCAGTAATTTTATTAACAGTACAAATTTGCCCAGTTTTGAGCATTACATATGTGAAAACTTCATAGACTATTGCCTGGCATATAGTAAGCACACATTAACAGATACTATTTTTAACATATTTCGCACTAGAAAATAAGGATTAATTATTTCAGTGATACATGCCACAATCTATTCTCCTCCATTTCTCCATCTTGTCAGGATACTGAGCACACATATACATGCACCTGGCATGGTATTTTAAGCCATCAGGGTTGGGATTTGAATTGTGTGGTCAGCCATGTAGGATCTGGCTCCCTTATCCACCAGGCCACAGGGCTGGCCCCAAAATATACTTCTTTGTGAAATGCTTCTAAGTATTTCAAATGGCTTATTAAATTGGTTGTCATGACATCTGTGTATGTTACAGAGGCTAAATGATAATTAACCCCCCTGTATTAATAAGACCAGATTAGCATTGGTCCAAAGGCTTAGCATGAAAAAATTGCAGAACTTGGATGAGAAACCAGTTGTTCTCACCAAACACTAACTCCATGTGGCATCCAATTCTTCAACTGCTACGACTCTGTGAAATAGGTAGTATGTTAGCAAAGCTTAAGACTATGCCCCTATTTTTATGGAATTATATATAATTTGGGGGGGTTAAAGTGTAAGTGTAGAGAAAAATTACAATGACAAGGAAAGATGACAGAGATGAAAGTGCCACAGGATATCAGATGGTAAGTGTTCATATATGATCTGGAGCCAGCAGGGAGGCTGCTCTAGGATAGCAGGACAAGATCCGCAACTGTAGAGGGATGGTTTCTGAGGAGAGAGAAGGTAACTAGTGTGCTGAGTCATTTCCGTATTCTAGGTGCTAAGATAGGTTCTTTGATCCATTCATAATGTTGGGAAATTGTTATTAGTATTCCAGTTTTAAAGATCCGTAGTAAAGCTCAGAGTGGCTGTCTCTTTTTCAATAGCAGAGTCTGTGAGTGCAAGGGTACTTCAATTGCTTTCCTCCAAAGTCCATTTCCTTTCATGAATCTGTGGAGAGTAGATAAGTGAAATCAATGCAATCAATGAGAGAGGATAATATGGACAAGATGCAAAGGCCAGAATCATAGGGAGGAAAAAAAAAAAAAAACCTGAAAACAATTTAGGTTGAATCAAAAGTAGCTTGTTTGCCATCAATAGGAAATGAGTTTTGAGAGAGAGACTAGGTCCAGAGCGAGATGATTTATGATAGTCCGAGTGGGGAATTTAAACTGCTGTGGCAGACAATAGGGAGCCAGTGTGACTTCTAGAGTGGGAAAGTCATGTTAATCTACCTGTAAAAGTGACTATTTCTTATTGAGTGTTTAATAAGAGATTAGGTATGGATGAAATACTTCATTTACATTGGGTCTGCTAGTGAAAACTTTATAAAATATTTTTACTGAGACTATCTCCTGATTTTAGAATCAGAATCTGCCAGGGTAAAGTTCAGATTATGAATACAATAAAGATAATTCCTGATAATTTTCATGTATATGTTCTATGGAATATTTTTGCTGCATAGTCTCATTTAATATCAAGAATAACTAGGATCTCTCTAGGACACCGTGTATTGCAATATCAAAACAGTAAAAATTTAATAAGATACATTCTTTGACACATGGCTAGTCTCATATTAACCAGCAACTGGGCCTTGAGTGACAGAAAGCACTCGGGACCTAGAAAAGGGATGAGTGTGCCTGAGAATTAGGACTGATTGCAAAACAAGCAAACAGATAAAAAATGCTGCAGAGGGTGAGCTTGGAGGAAGCAGTAAAGCACTTGCCCAGCCTGATAGGCACCTAGGCAGTTGGAGGTAGGGGATTTCTCTACCAGTAGTATAGAAAAGATTGACACTAGAGCCTCCACAAGGTGGAAAGGCTCATCTTGGCATCACATTGAGCCAAATCCTTGAGGAGGGTTGAACATGATCTCAAACTGGTGTGTCACCTGACAGCAGAAACAGAAGTAACTTTCTCCAACTTCAGCCTACAGGTCTTCCCTTTAAAATATAAAGTATACTGTCAGATAAAGGTAACAAACACAATAGAAAGTAACCAAATATGAGGCTATATCAGCAGAAAGAAGAAACTGTAACTTCAGATCCCCACAGATATTCAGATATTGGACCAATCTAGTATAGAGGATAGAACAGCAGTGTATGAGGGGTTCAAATTAGGCCTGCAAAAAGCAATTATCTTATAATAAGGAATGATCAGAGTGACTTAATGAAAATGCAGCCAATAAAAACATACCAATTATAATTAATATAGGGCAGATTAGAAGGCAGACACACAAAGTTTGTGAATGTCTAAGTCACCTGAAAATTTTATTGAAATAATATATCTAGAATGCAGCAAGCAGATGAGGAGCTGGAAATTTTAAAAGTTTTTAGTCACTGGTTCCGGGACTTGAATCATGGTCAGCCATGTAGGAGTCCAGTGACATAACTGCTACTAGTCCCTTACATGTATTTCTTACTTACAGTATTTTGTGTGACATTTCTATGACCAGGAGAGAACTCTATCATAAGTTGAGGAGCATATGTATGTCTGATCAAAAGTTTAAGAAGACAATATTGAGAGAATAGAACAAATTTAAAGATAATTGTCCAGAGCTGAGAGAAAATCTGACTGTCCCGAATAAGGAAACACAATGTATCTCAAACAGGATAAATCCAAAGAAAAACTGCTTGTAACAGTCCTATGAGTTAGACTTTATTATGGGATGAATCATGTACCATAAAAAATATATAAAAGTCCTAGTCCTCAGTAACTCAGAATGTGACCTTATTGAAAAATAGGGGCCAGTACTTAGAATCAGTTATGATGAGGATATATTTGAATAGGGTGTTGCCTTAACCCAATATGACTGATACCCTTATAAAAAGAAAAAGAGGGGGGAAAAGACAAATAACATGTGAAGACAAACACACAGCAATATGACAATGAAAGCAAAGTTTGGAGCAATGCAGTTACAAAGGATTGCCAGCAACATTCAGAAGCGAGGAGACAACATGACCTGACTCTCACCGTGACTTCAGACTCTAGCCTTCAGTTTGTGGGAATTTGAATGGCAGCCCTAGAAAATGAACACGGGCATTACTGCTTCCATTTTGCAGATGAGAATACAGAGTCTTAGAGATGAACTACATAGCCAAGCGAGTCCAGAAGCAATCTCAAACTTCGGATTTATAATCTAGTAGTAGACCAGAAATCTTATGAGTCAGAATGGATGTCAAAGATTGGTGACCCACCAACTTCATAATGGGCACAGTTGCCAATTTCTGTGACCCTCATGGATATAATTCCTTCTGACAATGAATTTATTTAGCAGACATTGAAAATGTGAGATTATGCTCCATTCATGAAGTCATATGCTCTCTCATTTTCCCTGACTCCACTGAATTAACTCAAGAGTATGTTTCCTACCAAGCCTATAGGGGATTTATATTTGTGCCCTCTGCTGGGGTGACTAGAAGCCATACTTTGGACTCAGCCAATCTTACTAATATTATTATTCCTAATTATTAATTATTATCAATTTCAGCACTTTATACTGGAGTAATGACTGGCATGATTATTATCCACTTTAAGTCTCAATTTCCCTGCCTGTAAACCAACTGCCTTGGAGAGGAATTTCAAATTTTGTATTTGAAAACCAGTAATGTCTTGAACAGCAGACATCCAGTGATATTATTTTATTACCTTGATATAATTCTTCAAGTGTCTATAATGTTAAAAGAAATGTGGTAAGTGTAATAAGAGAAAAGTTTTATAACAGAAAATCAACGTATTTCCACTAGAAGTTCAAAAGAGTGGAAACTGCTTACATTTTATTGTCCAATTTCATGCATTGATTATATCATATTTTTGGTTATTTCTTTGCTTCATTTCTGAACAATTTTCTTTGTGGCAAACCTTAACTTTTCCTGTGGAATTTGTTTATGTCTACTTTTTTTTTTTAAAGAGAGATTTTTGTGGGACCAGCAGTTAGCGTGATGGCTGTTGCTGGACCCCCCCCTCATGCCCCCATGTAGCCGACCGTGGTTTGATTCCTGGACCTGGTGCCTTAAACTCACACCAGGCGCATGTGTGCGTGTGCCCAAGATCCCGAGAGGAGAATGGAGGAGAAGGGATTGCAGCTTTCTGTCTCTCTGTCTCTGTCTTTCTGGTGAATGCATGCACCCAATAGCAAAAACCTCTCAAAAAAAAAAAAAAGATTTCTGCTATAGGGCACGTGTGTTTGCTGGAAAGACAACGAGAGACAGAGAGACAGAAAGTGAGAAATCAGCCCCCACTCAGGGGGATAACCACTCCACAATCACTTTTCCTCCATTCTTCCTTGGGATCTTAGGCATGTACACATACATACTGGCATGAATTTAAGCCTCTGGGTCCAGGACTTGAATTGTGGTTGGCTACATGGGAGTTCAGCAACATAACCCTTATACCATTTGCTGGTCCCTACATCTACTTTTTTTTTTTTTTTTTTTTTTGCCAGGGTGCATGCCCTAGTGGCTAGGGTGGAAGATGGAGAATTGACCCCTTATAGAGAATGGTCACATTGTAATCCTTTCTTATCCATTTTCCCCTCTTAAGATTTTAGGCATGAATGCCTAAAAAATAGACATAATAGCCATTGTTTTCATGGGGATACATGGAGATACTTCAAACTAAACCTGATGCTGACCAACAAGTGAATAAACAACAATTTTTGCCTGCAAGTATTGTTGCTTCTACTCCTAAATACATAAAATCAGAATACCAAGGAAAGGATAAAAAGTCCAGGGACTGAGAATCACAACCCACATAGGAGAGATCACAACTAGTTTTTCTTTAACTCTGTGAATACAACAATATTTTGTAGTATTTGCTTAAAAGCAAATGAAAAAATGAAAAATATGGATTTGTGGTGCCATTCAGTGGCACAGTGGTCAAGGTGACTGAATCCCGCATTGCTGACTGTGTGGTTTGACTCCTGGACCTGGTGACTTGCAAGATATATGGGGTGCATGTGCTTGTGTGCCCAGAGTCCCAAGAGGAGAAATGTAGGGAAGGGATTATGACATGGCCATCCTCGCTGGAGAGGGTTTTTGGTATTTTTTTTTCTCTCTATCTCTTTCTTTCTGTCTTTCTCTGGTGAACACACATACCCTATAGCAAAATTAAGAAAACACATGTGGATTTACTTGGGTGCAAACATTTTAGAAATTAGTAACAGTTTTTCATAATATTCATTTACATGTACTTTTTAATGACCCCTTGCATATCTGATTTAGGATTGAAATATACAAATAACCACATTCCTGATTAAAAATATTAAAACCCCCTATTAGCCTATGATAGATGTCATAATCAAGTAGCAAATAGTATTTTTTAGGCTATATATGAATGGGTGGTGTTCGAACACAGGCATTAGAGTCTCAGCTCCCTCTTAGTGGTCTGCTGGGATGAGCAAGTCACCTCTAAAAAATGGATGTTAACTTCCTGAAGATTAATTGAGAAAATACTGAATGCAAACACAAAGAATAGACCCCCGTCACAAAATGCTGTCATCAGAAGAGCAAATAATTGGAAGGATATAAGCAGCCTGTATTGGTGAATGAGTCTGTTCAGAAGTGACGTCTGACTGAAATATAAAAGGCATAAAAAGTGAAATGTAAGTGTAAAAAGGTGGATTGAGGATGAGCATTTTGGTAGGAGCTAGACTGTGATGGGGCAAGTACAAAAATAGAAATGAGGGAGGAGTGTGGATAGAGAACTGAACACACAAAGGAAGCAGGCCGTGGAGAGGAGCCCTTACTGGCCATGGAGAAAGCTATCATGTTTCAAGTAGAGGTGTGGCATGTAGTTTTCTAAGAATACTCTGGAGACAACAGTGGTGGTGCCAGAATACTTCTGTGAAAGGAGTTTCTCATTGGGCTTCTGGTGGAGGAAGATGGTAGTTGGGAGAGCTAAAGGAATTCTTTTGAACTGTGTTTTCTTAGTTTTTTATTTGATTAAGATATATGTTAACTGGGGGTTGATTGCGAGCACATTGTGTAGAGTAAGTTCTGGATTCCAAGGATCAAAACAGGCTAGATAAGAAAGGCCAGCCTGGAATGGGTGATGCTCTAAGTCCATCCTTTCGCAGATATCACTGCTAATTGGTTGCTGCTGCCCAACAGGAATTACAAAGTCCTAGAAACTAATTGGCTCTAACTACTTCGCTGAAGAGGAAGACACTCTTGAGCTCCTTGAATCCTCATGTAACTTACCTTGATTTGACTCTATCTAAATTTTGTAGTATTCACAGAGTTAAAGAAAAAGTAGTTGTGATCTTTCCTTATGTGGATTGTGATTCTCAGTCCCTGGACTTTTTGGCCTTTACTTGGTATTCTGATTCTATGCATTTATGAGTAGAAGCAACAATAAAATGATTATATTTGCAGGCAAACATTGTTGTTTATTCACTTGTTGGTCAGCATCTGGTTTAGTTCTTTAAAGCTCATGTAGTTATTTTAAATAGTTTGTATAGAAGGTATTGTTAATTCCATTTTATGTATAAGAAAAGTGAACTTCAGAAGATTTAAGAAAAATTTGAAATGGTCATGGAGTATATGATAGATCTGTTTTGACCCCAAACCTGTGCTTTTGATCACTGAGCATACCGCCAAACTATTTTTAAAGTATAGTTTCCTCAAAGGTATTTTCTCAAAGAAACCATTTGATTCTGTAGGAAAAGAGCCCTGGCTCCAATGTCTGGTATCTCAAAGACAAATAAATACTTCCTGTCAGTGGCATATGCCTCTGCTGTGCATAAAAACACTAAAAACCCTCACTTACTGAATTTGGGGTCAACCTACAATGATTTTTGCCCCCTTTGATTTATGACTGACAAATTCAAAAAGGAAAGGAACCACATTGCATTTTATTTTAGCTTCATAAAGAGCTCATCAAAAGTACACAAAACAGAAAAATCCAGTAAATGCTTTGATCTTAGTTCCTGGCACCCAATCCCTTGCTACAACATATGACAGAAATTTTAGGAATTGATAGGAGCCAACAAATTAGAAACCACCCTGAGACTTCCAGAAGATAACACTTCATTGTTTATAACAGTGTACACAAGGAAAAGGCAGACTTAGCAGAATTAATGGCCATTTCTCTGCCCTGAAGGGTGCAGATTCATGGGGAGGGTATCATGCTACCCTGACTCTGCACATCTTCTTTCCTCAGGCACCAAGTCACATCTTACTGAAACCACCCATTTGGACTTGGAAGGCTGTATTTCCTATCAGTGCTTTCTTTAATAATTCTGTTTTAAAAAGAAGCTTGACTTCTGGCCATGCAGTGTCTGTTCTGGCTTTCGCTATTGCTTTCCCAGCAAGGGAGATTTGTTTATTACATTGAGTAATTGTCATAGACCTGGCTCTGAAACTCTATTAGGGCATTGGAAAAGTCATGATGCATTTTTGCATAGAAAAATATGTCATGATTTTTCCGTTGACTCAATAGATGAGAGCATTAGAAAGAAGCAATGCTATTGACAACTCTGAACCCAGCTGTGGTGGCACAGTTGATAGCAAACTGAACTACATTCCTGAAAGTCACGTAGATGATCATGGGTTTGAATTCCATTTTGGCCTAAAAATACTCCAGGCAAGCTTGTGCATGTCCAAGATCATGACTAGTTGCAGAACTGGAAATGGGGACTGTGGTGTAATGAGAAAACTCTCAAGAGTTTCTCTCTCTCTCTTTCTCTCTCATGCACACATGCTATTATGAATTTTAAAAATGGAAAGAAAAATAAAACTCTGAGAAAGGGCCTCATTTGGCAGATGCCAGTGTTAAATGCATCAAAGTGGGCTGCATGTGTGTCTACAGGATTTCAGGGGAGCTGAACAAAAGGAAAGGGGAAAGGGAAAGGGGAAAGATTACATTACATTGCAATTACTTTACAGTCATCTAAAACCTTCACTGTTGTGGATGGATTATTCTTAGTATGGATAGGGGATGAACAAGAAATAAGCAATGTAAGACAGTAAGTGATTTATTAGAAATAGACAAGCACTGATGGCATTAATCAGCTTTGACAGA